GAGCTCCTCGCGACGACGGGCGACTCGCTCCGCATATGGGAGTACTCGAGCGACGCGCAGCAGGCGCTGTCGTCCTACGTCGGCCGGCAGACAGGCGCGGGCGGGCACAGGCTCACGCTCAAGACGACTCTCTCTGGTGTGCGTACTCCGCTCTCTCTTTCCTCCCGTCGTGCCCTGCTGACGGCGTGCGGTGTGCGTAGCAGAGTAAGGTGCAGAGCCACGGATCGGGCGCGCCGCTGACGAACTTTTCGTGGAACGACAAGGCGCCGAGCCTGGTGGTCACGTCGTCGATCGACACGACGTGCACGGTGTGGAACATCGACACGGCGACGGCCATCACGCAGCTCATCGCGCACGACCGCGAGGTGTACGACGTCGCGTGGCTGCCGGGGTCGACGGACATCTTCGTGTCCGTCGGCGCGGACGGCAGCCTGCGCGCGTTTGACCTGCGCAGCCTGGAGCACTCGACGATCCTGTACGAGACGCCGACGCCGAAGAACGTGCCGCCGCCGTCCGCATCGCCGTCGTCGACCGCGCGGCCGCCCGCGTCGCCGCTGCTGCGCATCGCGTTCAACCCCGCGGACTCGAACTACATGTCGACGTTCCACATGGACGGCTGTGGCGTGCAGATCTTGGACATGCGCAGCCCCGGGCAGCCGGTCATGGAGCTCGTGGGGCACCGTGCGCAGGTGAACGCGCTGGGCTGGGGCTCGACGGCGAATCCCCTGCTGGCTACCGCGGGTGCGTGCTCGCCGCGCGCGCGCGCGCTCTGCCGCGACTGACGGACTGACTGACCGGGTTGGACAGGTGACGATAGCCAGCTGCTGCTCTGGGACCTGTCGTCGCACACGCAGGCACCGGCAGCGTCGCCGCGCAACGCGAGCTCGGGGCTGAGCTCGCCGCGGCCCGACGTGAAGAAGCGGATGGTGACGGACCCGGTGATGGCGTACACGGGGTCGAGCGAGATCGTGAGCCTGGCGTGGTCGCCGCAGATTGCGGGGATGACGATGAACACGGGGCACTCGACGGCGGCGGGCGAGTGGATTGCGGTCGCGATGGGCAAGTCGATCAAGGCGCTGAAGGTGTAGTGCGCATCGTCGAAATGCGCGCGCGCAGGGACAGGGCGGGTGCCTGGTGGCGGGAGCAAGGGCGGCGCCGCGGGACGGGGATTTCCATATGAGGACATGTCATGTACGATACGCAGTAGCCGAGTCGGCCTGGGCTGTCTCCGACCCAGCTCCGACGTCTCATATCAAGCGCCGCCTGGAGTGCGCCGCACACTTGGCGGAGTCCACTGCTGAACTTGCACCGAGTCGTATGCGACCACCGACGACCCAGCTCGAGTCTGCTGTATCCTGTGCGTGTCACCGTGTCTCCTGTTCATCTCTGGACGACTCTTCGCCTCGGTGCAAGCCTGGAGATAGCAGAGACGACGACGAGGACCATGTGCATTGATCTCGTGGTGCTGATAACGAACCTGGAGTGACGCCCATCAGGGCGGCGATTTGGATTTCTGCATTTTTTGATGTCGAACCGCATGGACTCAGCCCGGAGCCATATATCAGCTCCCCAGGCGCGTCCTTGCTCTCTGCGCTCGTGTGCCTCCCCTCCGCCCGCCCCCCGAGCCTCGAGTCGAGCAGCGTCCAGCGACCGCGCATATAGCCACCCGCCGACACACCGACGACGTGATGTCACCCATGTCGACCGCCTCGGGCATCGCAGTCGAGCGCTCTGCGTCGCGCTCAAGCAGCTACTCTGCCTCCAACGAGAAGCAGCCCATCCCCGACGCCGAGGTGCAGCCAGCCAAGGACACCCTCATCACCGACGGCGAAGAGGCGACCGTCCCCAACACCGTATGGCACGCGAGGCTGCGCATCCTCCTCCTCGCCGGCCTCGCAGCGACCATCCTCGGCTGGTGGATCACCTCCACCATCCTCCCCGCTACCCGCCATAGATGGTGCGTCCGCCGAGTTCCCCCCCGTGCGCGTACTCTGTTCTCACCTGCCCCCCGCGCACCAGGATCGTGCAGACCTTCTGGGCCTGGTTCTTCCTCGGGTGAGTCCGCGCCTGCATATATGCGCTCCCTCGTGACCCGCCCCCTCCCCCGGCAGCGTCATCGCCTTCCGCTGGATCCCCAACAGCATCGTCACCCGGCCCGTCGCCGCCGTCTGGGTCCCGTGTGTGCAGGCGCCGTGGTACAAGCTGCCGTACAGCGTGCGCCTGGCCGTCGGCTGGCTCTGCCTCCTCGCCGTCGTCTTTGGCTCCGCGTTCGGCTTCAAGCTCACCGCTGTACGTACCCGCACCCTCTGACCGCACGTGAGAGTGACACCGCGCCCCGCGCACGCAGAACACCACCTACGGCGACCGCGCCATCTCCGTCCTCGGCCTCTTCGTCTTCCAGTTCTGCTTCTGGGCGACGTCCGCCCACCGCTCTCGCGTGCCATGGTGCGTGTATGCGCCTCTGGGGGCGTATAAGCGCGCGGCTGAGTGTCTTGCGATGCCACAGGCCTACCGTCATCGTCGGCTTGTTCATCCAGCAAGTCATCGCGATGTTCGTCCTCAAGACGAGCGCGGGCTTCTCCATCTTCAAGTGGATCGCCCTCCTCGCCTCGGATTTCCTCGCCCAATCGGAGGCCGGCGGAACTTTCTTCTTCAGCGCAACCATCGTCTCCGAAGATTGGTTCTTCGTCAACACGGTGGGTACCGGTTCCATTTGCTGTCGTTCGCGAAAATTGACCTCGCGTGTGTTCCGGCATTGACAGCTTGGTGCCGTGATCTTCTTCATCGCGTTTGTGCAGATGATGTTCTACTTGGGCGTTATGCAGTGGCTCATTCAGGGCTTGTGTGTTCCGACCGCATTGCCTGATTTGTGGTTTCTGATCTACTTTCTTTTGAAGCGCATGGGTCTTTTTCAAGCTCATGAACGTCTCTGGCGCGGAGGCCATCATCGCCTCTGCGTCGCCCTTCATTGGGCAGGGTGAATCCGCCTGTCTCGTCAAGCCCTACGTCGACTTGATGACAGCGTCTGAACTTCATCTGACCATGACCTCCGGTGAGCTTTGTCTCGACCAAGTATGCCTGCTCAATCTGACTGCGCACGACAAGGATTCTCGACGATCTCCGGCTCCGTGCTGCTCGCATACATCAACCTTGGCGTTCCCGCGCAAAACTTGATCACTGCCTCTGTGATGAGTATCCCTGCATCTATTGCCATCAGCAAGCTACGCCTCCCAGAAATCGAGGAGCCCGTCACTCGCGGCCGCGTCGTCATCGACCGCGGCCAGGAGAAGGAGAAGAACAGACCAGCGAACGCTCTCCACGCGTTCAGCCAGGGCGCCATCTTTGGTGTAGTCGTCGCCGGCCAGATTTTGTGCGTCTCCTTGCTTGTGCTGCATCTGCAAAATGTACTCACGATACGGTCCAGGGCTAACGTCTTTACCGTCGTCTCCCTCGTAGCAGCCGTCAACGGCCTCCTCACCTGGATCGGCAGAGGGTTCGGGTTCCATGCGCTCACGTTGCAGCTCATCCTACGCTATATCTTCTACCCGATCACATTCTTCATCGGTGTGCCGACCGGCGAGATCCTCCGGGTCGCCGAGCTGCTTGCCACGAAGCTCATTGCCAACGAGTTCGTGGGCTACACTGGTGCGTTGCCAGCCTCCCCTCTGGCACACACACGGCGAGCTGAAGCGCACGCTAGACCTGCAGACGATCATGCACAGCGATAACCCGCTCTCCCAGCGCGCGTTCACCATCGCGTCCTATTCGCTGTGCGGGTTCGCTAACCTCGGCTCGCTCGGTATCCAGGTCGGCGTGCTCAGTGCGCTCGCGCCCACCCAGGCGAAAATCATCGCGCGCATCGCGACGTCTGCCATGATTTGCGGGTTCATTTCGTGCGTATCGGCTGCATCCCTCCGTGTTTCCGCTGATTCTACGGTTTTGCAGCACGCTGCAAGCGGCCGGCATTGCCGGCATGCTGGTGTAGATGCTCTCTCTCATACGTGATTTATGATTATTGCGGTAGGTGTGAGTGCGCCCTGTGGCATATGCACAGGGTAAAACGGTGAGATGTAGGTAATTGCTCAGTTGATATTGGTTGCCGACGCGATTCCTGTAACGCTACTTTACGCTGCACGACGAAGAAAAGATATGACGATACAGACAACTTTGCTAGTGGGAGTCGCTCGCCTAAGGTCGACGTTTGATGGATGTGCTTGTACACAACTGAGGATCACCCACCTTGTGTATGTGAACACAGCTAAATGGCAGACCCAGAGAGTGAGCAATGTGTGAGAGGGTGTTATCTGTGGCAAGTCTGAACGACAGCCTTTTAGACTGCCAATCACTTCACCTGTGAACAGCGATTGAGACGACTGATGGCGAGGGAGAGAGTTACACACACCCAATATCATTCCTTGGTATCCGACGTTGTCTCTGCCAACAGTGCATTGTCATCTGGACGGCTTGATGGTTTCCGACTATGCTGTCGGCTGGTGCTCCACTGGTGACGCTCCGCCGCCTCCGACATCACCTGTCGGCGCGCAGAGTACGTCTGCCACACGAACGCACCGATGCTCTAGCGCAAACGTACAAAAACCCGACGTGAGCCCCGCGCCGGCGCGCGCGAAAGACAAAGAGGGGGAGGGCTGCTCACCAGCGCAATCGCCCCGAGCATGGCCGCGTCCTTCCACCTGTCGTCCAGCCCGACGTCCAGCTCGGCGCGGCGCCGCTGCTTCGCCCGCCACATCGCCGTGCTCAGGCCGTGGTAGTCTGGGCGGAGGCCCTCGGACGACGCGTCCGCCGCCCCCGCCTCCGCCGCGTGGTGCCGCTTCCCCGACAGCACCGCGTAGGCTGCGCTGATCGCCTGGAAGCGCGAGTGGGCTGTCTCGGGCGGGACCGCGCGGCTGACGGGCGAGTCGGGGTGGTATATCCGCACGAGGTCGTAGTCTGCGCGGCATCGGGGGGGGGGCGCGGTCAGCCGTCGGGGCCACGGAGGACGGAGGCGGGGAGACCACTCACATCGCGCCTTCACCTGGTCCCGGGTCGCGTTCGGAGAGAGGTGGAATATTTGGTGGGGGGTGGGCTGCGCGTGGGCGGGGAACGGGAACGGGTTGGAGCTGCTTGAGACGTGCCTGAGGGCCCGGCAGCGCAGCGAGCTGCGTGCGCGATGGCACCGGGACCAGAGTGAGGGTGTGTTTCCCGATATCATGGGAGTCTACTCTATCTTTAATGGCGCCGCTTTGAATAAGGAGCCTGGAGAGCAATAATGTGGTTATTTGAGGAGAGTAGAGGAAAGGGGGCCGGGCGCCGCTTGATGGGGGAGAGAACGAAGATATTCAGATAACGCACACACATAGGCCGCGCGAGTCTCTGCTCAAATCCTACTTTTCTGCCACAAAGTATGCGTTATCTCATAACGTCGAAACATGAGACTGGTTGAATAGCAAGATAGTGGTGTAGGGCAAGTGTATCAGAAGCGAGAACATGCTCCTGTTTGATCTCGACCTCCGAAGTTTTTGCTTTGCCACAATGATCATTGAAAAATTCATGCCTCTCAGTTAAAAATACTGGACCACGAGGCTATAGGGCAGAACTACAGGATTCCACGTATACAAATACAGGAACGGAATAATATAATGCTACAGCGCAGACGGCGCGATCGTCATACTCATACAGGTAATCATCTAGCACAAGAAACAGGCGTTGGATGCAAGCACCAAGAAAGAGAGAATCATGTCGTATCATCTTCTACATACACACTATCCCACACCAGCGAGGAAACCCAAAGAGGTAGTGTCGGAGTCTTCACATTATAATACAATCGTTACTCTTGTTAGCCAGGCGTCGTGTGATGTCCTCTGAGCGGATGATGGCCCCTTGACCAGTCGGCTGGCCATCGAGGTTGACTATGAGAACACCTCCGTTCTGGCTATCCAGTTCTGCAATGAGGCCCTGCCTATATGCGTGTGAAATCGACATCAAGATCGTTGTGAGCAGTATCAGATATAGTACTCTTACTTTTGCATTAGTTCCTCAATTGCGGGCTTGAGTTTTGCGACGCCGTTCGGGGAATGCAGACCCTTACCTGAATGCGGAGGATCTTGCAGTCAATATGGACGCGCATTGAACCAGTCGTAGTGCAATGACAGCAACGTACCGACTATGAAATGAATCTTCGAGTCGCCTCGCCTCCGCGCCTGTTCGATGGTTCGCTCCGTGAACGTGATGGCTTCTTTGACAAACAGGCCGTGCAAATCAACCTCTCCTGGCATGCTTCCCTTGTTATTTTCTGCCGCAAGACGAGCCATCCCGCAGTTCGGGTTCAGATCAGTGGTACCAGAACGGTATGCACTCACCAGTGAAGATCCACTCGCTCGCCTGCGCGTTCAGCCGCTCCATCTCGCGTTGGTGGGCTCTGCCTTTGACAGAGAGCTCCTTGGCGAGCGCGCCGTCGCGTCGCGCATAGGCTGCATGGCTTTCCTCGAAGCATTCGCCCATCTTCGCGCCTTCTTCACTCGCGCGTGCGCGCAAAGACCGATAATGCTCGTTCTGTTGGTTCTGTTGCTTGACATCCTAGACATGTGTCCAATCAGGCACGCATATATGCAGCTGTGGCGTTCGTACCTGGTGCGTACGAGCTGTGGGTGGAGTTTCTGGAGGAGAGGGCAGATACGGCCGGTGCGGAGGCGCAGACCGGGGGGCTTGCGGCGGTCTCTGCACAGGGCGCGGTGGACGTTCTTGGACAGGCCTTTGCTGATGGGGTCTAGAAACACGCGGGGGCGTTTGGCCTTGTGGTGGCTGGGTAGGAGGCTCAGAAGGGCCGCAGAAGAAGCTGTAGATTGCTTGGAATAGATCTGAAAAACCCATTTTGTGAGAGGGATCAACAGCGAAGGATTAAAGGAAAAGAATGGAGCAAGTCTTGGAGGAGGAAGGACGCGGGGAGGGAGATATACGCGATTCAGTATTCGGGCGGCTGTCAGTGTCAATCGAGCTGCAGGTCGCCTCGTGCCAGCCCGGTCTGCATATGGCTGTGGGCTTGACAGCCCCACACGTCCTTTATTCAGTACTCAGAACAACAGTCGGTTGCAACAGCGGAGAAGATGACACATAAGTGGAAAGAAACATGCTTAGCACAAGTATTCATTTGAGAAGAGCGCCAACTCCAAGGACACGCGAGCGCTGTTCGTGCCAGATGTCGTTATGACTCGACACGTTTGTGGTACAAAACTTTACAGAGATCGTCCTCCTTACTCTATAGGTCTCTATGGACAAAAATGCTTACGGGAGACAAGCACAGACCTCAAGCAGGACGTTGTGCCAGTAAAGATCGAGTAAGATTGAAGTAGTAGTAAAAAGCGACATTATGTTACAGACACGGTACGTCGTTAATTTAAAAACATAGATATGTAGCAGTTAGATCAGCTGATATCACGGCGTATTAATGTCCCAACATTCATAATTTTATATCAGGCCCACAACCCGCAAATCTCGAGTTCCCAGCCGAGGAGCGGCACAAGGGCCAGTATATGCTATGCATGCGTCTTCGTCTCCATGCAGTGTGTATGGTTGAAATGAAGATGACTGTGCGTTACGCAGCAGTGGGTTTCGTGGCTGTGACATCAACTACAAGTAACGACACATGTCCTAGTATGTCTGTGCGTCAGGGGATTACAATAAACACAACATGTAAAATGATGCTTACGGCGTAGTGGTGGTGACTGGGCTGTCGCGAATGTCGCTCACGAGTGAAGTCCCGATCCGGTCGACGCCAAAGTGTCCACAGTTTTCCAAAGACAAAGCCTACAGTCCGGCATAGAACTGGAACAAATGCAACAGATTCATACATGAGCAACACCCTGTATCGATCAGTCGTATGGTGACTTACCTGACGAACAGGAGCCGACACACAATAAGCAGGAGGGATGCTCGTTGGTCGGGGTCTCAGACGAGTCTGTAATGTGAGATCGGGCTGAGTGGGCGGCTGAGGGGGCGGCTGAGTGGGCTTCTTCGCCGAATGCTGCGGTAGCACAGGGAGCGAATACAGCTCGTCCTCCAAGTTCGTAAACCGGCGGGTCTCTATCGGCCGAATCTGCGAACGCGATCCGCCGTAGTCTTCGTCGTACTCACAAACGCAGCAAAAAGCGAGCGAATGTAAGACGGTGAGAGATGCTGTCTTCAGCCGAGTTGCCCAACGCTTCATCGCCCTCCACGACGGACCCGTGCTGAGTGTGTATACGAAGGGCTAGAAAGAGGGTGAGCCAGCTGACAGGAGAATGGTGACTTTATACACGAATCAGAGCGGAAGCCAGCGATTTCATGCATGCGATCGAATTGGCCGATTGATAGCTGGGAATGCTTTCCAACGAACGCCAATTAGTCGGAAGAAATCCGCCCCGTAGTGGAAGCCGAGGACCGGAGTCGCTGTGAGTTTTAGTGTGCGCTACACAATAGTCTGCATGAAACAAGCATGAAGTTCTCGAGCTGTGAACCGCTCGTGTCTGGGAGCAGACTTGATACACGACTCGGTGTCAGCAATACTGCAAATATATCGTCAAAATTCAAAATGCAACTTTAAAACTACAGGCAGCTGTGGCCGTAATGCACGCCATCATGTTGCATGTAGCAGATAAATGAGGAACAATACACGGCTTCGTTGAATAACCACAGCATAGTGCTGTAACAAGGCACTATGTCCGCGAATTAAGGCGATGTATGCAGACAGATTGAGATTAGACGTGGCTTGGCAGATAGCGGATGGGAGAAATCGATGTGAATGCGGGTCGGCTGCGCAGTCATAGGGGGTAAAATAGTCGCCCAAGGTAGATACATATGTACGCAAGAGCAATTCCATTGAACGTAGGTCGGCGTGGTGGTACATCGCAGTTGACATAGATGCTACGCGCGGGTAGTGTGGAGGCCATTAACCCAATGATCGCAGCAGGTCTACAGTCTGTGCGTCACGGTCGCGACTTTGTATCGAGCTGACACGCATGTAACAGATGTGATAGAAATCGACGATGTACTCGAGCAACTGTTATAGCCGAAACCATGACCATTCGTCTAGATTTTGGATGGAGACACACCCTCTTCATGCGTATCAGTCTTCTGTGTGCTGTCGTCGGGGATCATAATAGGCGCAGCGCCCAAGTGAGAGGCCCTGTGGCCCAGCGGAGACCCTGCGCATTCAACCGACGCACTCACCAAGCACCATGGAACAGTTTAATACTGATGATATATCTTCACCGTTTTTAAGAACAACGCTGGGATGAACTGTGGACTCAGGTCAGGTTAGTAAAGGACGTCATCACCGTCGTTGAACATCATCAAGACCAATAGATACAATATATCGGAAATTTTGCCACTACCCAGTGCTACGATTCCTTATCCCCCGAACACCAGTCCTCAAATTTCCAAGCCGATCAAAACGTATGTAGGGTCGACCTGGAATGGTGGTCTAGTGACGACGGTACCTCCCACGTACATCAGGGAGTGCAGCAATTCACCGAGGAACGGCGATTTCTTCTCCAGAGCAATAACCAGCGCAGAGCACTGCAAACTTTCGTCCGCAAGATCGAGAAGAGCAACGATGCTAATATCACCCGTTAGCTAACTGACATTGCAGCTCATTGATAAGCTCACCTTTCCCGCAAATTGACATTAGCCGCACTTTTACCATCTACATACAACGTCTTGGACTTGCCCGGCAGCTGAAGCACGACACCATCGAAGGCGGCGCCCAAGTTGGGGGCAGAGATCGAGACATTCTTTGCGTACGGCAGCGCACCAAGAGCGTTGCGCGGAAAGAGGGCAGAGAGAAAGTCGAGTGCTGCGTTGTGTTGCTTCGCGCTGATCGCCGCGATGCTGCCCTCCCCCTCTTCGGCATCGTCAGGCGTAAGCGGCGGCGTGGCGATATCGGGGAAGGGGGCGCTAGCATTTTTGCCCACAATTGCCCTCGGGGCGCTAGGCAGAGAACCGAGGAGTGGGGTGCTGGGTGGACTGGGTATCTCGGGCGGAGGGGTGGGCGGAAATACGATCGATTTGGAAATAGATTCTGCTCCGAAAGACGATAGCGTGGATGAGGTGTCGGAAGGTGAGGAGGAAAGCGTTGACGCCAGACTGTCTGTCACCCAGTCTGACGACCCTCTGTCGGGAGGGCATTTCACTTTAGGGGTGTCAAAACCGCCACTGCACATAATGTGAGCGTTATTGATTCGTGAAATGAGAGAAAACTCACCCCAGGCCCTCCAGAGAACGTAGTAGAATAATAGTACATAGATTCGTTGCCTTGCATACGGCACACAGCAAGCACGCTAGGAGTCATGTCGGTGTAGAAAGCCCCATCTCCAACGGTTTGACGACCGTTGCTGGTGAACGAAAAACATAAGTACGGAGAAGCTCGGTGATTCAAAGGAGTCATACTGACGCGGGGCAAATACTAGATTGCTGTTTTGAACAATTTATCATATTGGTAATCGACATGGGGTGCCAATTTGTTACTTGAGAGGTTAGACTGGGCTAGAAGCAGCAGCTGTATTGATGCAGAGCGGTGTCAGACAAAGGCAATGAAAATAGTGAACAATCAGCGCGTACAATGCAAGCAAATGCGGGCAAGCGAAGACGGGCGTGGTCAGGGTCGGCGCTGGGGGTCTGCCTCGTCTTATGCCATACTGAGTCAGCACGTCCCCTGACACCACCCCACGTGGCTGTGGCTGACTCCACCAAATCCGGCAGGACACCGACCGCACCTCAGGCTCCAGGCACGACGGAAGTGCATGCATACCTGCAAGAATGTACGATTGGGGCCCTTGCAACTTCTCGCCTATCCTCCTTTGGGACGGAAGCGTTTACTAGGATGTCGAAAGCACCCTGAAGTTCACAGTCGCGTGAGCAACGGATGATAGCAAGCTTTTCAAATATCTCGGAACTCTCTCAGTGTTCAATCCCCGTCAACTAAGTTCAAGCTTCTCTGGTAACGCTACGCACTACATAATGATTGTTTGAACGACAGACGAAAGAAACTCGCACCGCCTATAAACACGCCCGGCAGAGACCGGCCCATGTTTTTGTGAGCACAACCATAGCGCAAGCGCCACGACAATCTATATAAACTAAAAAACAACAAACTCCACCGGACCAAAACTCGGGAAAGCGGTGTTACTGCAAAACAATTGGAGGCCAGTCCGTCATTCAAGATTCTGCACGGAGAAACGGTCCCAGGTAAGTCAGGCTGACCAACGTACCCCCAGCAGGATGTCGTGCAGGATGTCGCTATCGGAAGCAGCTCTAGACGGCCCTTGGCGCTTTCTTGCCATGTCCGAGACAGCGGAACCGCAGGGGTTGTGCCCACGGACAGGAAACCGCTGGGGTGGCGCCTTTCGAATCATCACCAGAATTGCTTCAAGGACGTCCGTATCTTCGGAGCTTGACGTGGGATCAAGTACGAGTCTAGGCAGGTCAGTCGGCCGCCCTGTGTTTGAAGGCGAGAGGTATGGTGATGAATATACACGATAACAATGTCGCGAGTCAGATCGGCCAAAGCTCGGAGACGCACGTACTTCCGTCTGCGACCGACGAGCCATCGTCAAGAGCACGCTTTTTCAAATGTTGCAAAGAGACATACCTGCGTTTGAGCTTCGGCTGCTTCTTTCCTTGTCGTACGTGTGGATGAAAACGTCATGCGGGATCTTGCTTGTACGCTGCCGGATGACCTAGCGACCGGAAAACGTTCATGGCTAGCGCGATTCATTGCGACTGAGGTGGGCATATCCTTGAGCGTGGAGGGGAGTGTACGACGGGCCGGGACTTCTCCTATTCCTATCTTCATCGTGGACGGCATCTTCTGAATTTTGATAGCGGAGAGGCAAAATACAGAATCTAGTTCGCCACTACGATGACCCATATTAGGACCAGCAGGTTCTACGCTTGCTCTGCGAGATGCAGCACTGCGACGCTCAGAGCAGACTTTTTCCATAGAAGCAGGCATTACCCTTCTCTGGGCTTGAACATCGATGAACCTATCATGCTGCGGTCTGAGACATTCATCGATATCTAGTGCAAATGCCTCAACGCTCAAATCTGATTTAACCGAGTCAAAATGTTATGAATAATGTCATAGATTTAACGCATTATGCATACGGAACCTTCATATACTTCGTCGGAACTAGTGGACGATGCTGATCGATCTTCATATTTTGTGCATGTGCTGTTGGCTCGAGTGACGCAAAGTGATGGCTGGGATGACCTTGTCATGGTTTGTTCAATACGCGCATCGGTATCAACCTGTGAAACGAACATTTTCATGCTCAGCCAGGTAAAAAAGAATGACTAGCATGCGTAAGGGTCGGAGACGATCCCGAGCTTGGCACAATCAATGAATCGAAAAGAAAAGCTGACCTGCTCCTGCCGCCATTCTCTCACATCGTATGATGCCTGCTGCGATATTTTCTGGCCAGGAACGATCTTGCCCTGCAAGGTAGACCAACGTTGTCCGCGACCAGTGGTCAAGGTGGATGATTTCCCTGAGATGGTGGGTCGAGGAGGGAGGGTAAGGAATGAATCAACATCCAAATCAAAAAGAGCGGTGCCTTCCATTGCTCGTCAGTGTTTATCGTAAGAGTCTTTAAACACGCAAACCTGGAGAGGAGGGGGAGAGAAACAGCGAGCGCAAGCGGCATTACTATGGTCTCGAGAAGACTGAAGCTGAAACTTATTAAATGCGTGCTCAGAGTCCATGGACATTCCACCTTGACGCAGCCTGACTTCCGCGGGTCCGCGGCATTCTGAAACTAACCCGTAAAGGGATCGATAGGGCCTGCAGGGAAATTCAAGCACTGGAATCACCAGACAAAATCGCTCGACGAGGTAATGTTGCGCCTTCGATTGCGCCTTCAAATTCAGTGTTTATCGCAGGAGTCTTGAACACGCAAACCTAGAGAGAATTAGGAGGAGGAGGAAGAAAAAAAGAGCGCAAGCGGCATTACTATGATCTCGAGAAGACTGAAGCTGAAGTTTATTGAATGCGTGTCCAGAGTCCATGGACATATCCACCTTGACGCAGTCTGACTTCCGCGGGGCCGCGGCATCCTGCGACTGACCCGCAAAGGGATCGACAGGGCCTGCAGGAAAATTCAAGCACTGAACTTACCAGACATAATCGCTCGACGAGGTGATATTGCGCCTTCAATTGCGCTTTTAGCTTCAGCCTTCAAGTAATAAAGCTTGAAGCGGATGTAGCATGTAGAGAACATATAACCAAGCTACTTGCTTAATTCTGGAGCCGTCAGCGCGAAGCATTTTCCAGAGAAGTTCTTGTAACTCCAGTGCAGCCGACGTAACGCAGGCAGAGCCAAAATGAATGCATGCCACATTGCCGGTTGCATTTAGAACGCCTTTGGCGCCGAACCTGACGCAGTTTCCGGGGTCCTAAACACACCGAGAGGGTTCAGCCACCGTGCTACTATCGACGCCAGCGCTATCGGGACATCTACAGGCGACCTCGACACCGACCTACCTCAAGACGTGAGTGTATTCTCGTTGTGCTGTTCGCCAGAATATGTTGGCCGTTCTGTTCTGCATGCACCTCCCAATATTTGGAGTTGGAAATGCCCTGCGTTGGGCTGGATGACTGCGTCTTTGACCGGATGATGCTCGTTAGGGTCTCCGACCATTTTCAAGAGCATTCATATCGTGACACTCTGGCAAGTGTTGGTCTTTCGGCTGCTGACCTGTGATCTTGTATTGCAGTAACCTCTTCAAAAACACATAATGGCTGACGCAGGACGCGGACGTGGCGGATTCGGACGTGGACGTGGTGACAGAGGCCGTGGACGGCGAGGCCCACGTCGTGGCGGTCGTAAAGACGAAGAGAAGGAGTGGTTAGCTCTTCCACTCCTATGGATGCGAATCTCTTCAAACCCATTGATTTGTCTAGGGTCCCAGTTACCAAGCTTGGTCGTCTCGTTAAAGACGGCAAGATCAAGTCCATGGAGGAGATCTACCTCTTCTCACTTCCGGTCAAGGAGTTTCAGATAGTCGACTTCTTCCTGCCCAAGCTCAAAGATGAGGTCATGAAGATCATGCCCGTCCAGAAGCAGACCCGTGCGGGTCAGCGCACACGCTTTAAGGCGTTCGTCGCGATTGGTGACTTTGAGGGTCATGTCGGTCTTGGAGTCAAGTGCGCAAAGGAAGTCGCTACTGCCATTCGTGGCGCTATCATCCTCGCGAAGCTGTCCGTCATTCCCGTTCGACGAGGGTACTGGGGTGCTGCGCTCGGTGCGCCTCACACTGTGCCTTCGAAGGTTAGCGGGAAGGTTGGTTCCGTCATGTGCCGTCTCATCCCCGCACCAAGAGGTACTGGTCTCGTCGCCGCGCCAGCCTCAAAACGATTGCTGCAGCTGGCTGGTGTCGAGGACTGCTACACACAGTCAAAGGGTTCAACAGCAACCATGGGTAACTTCTTGAAGGCGACCTTCGCTGCAGTAAGCTGCCAAGACCTGTTAAAGCGTCATTGACTTTTTCTGACACTTCTCTAGATCACCAAAACATATTCTTTCCTCACTCCCGACCTTTGGCGCGAGATCCCAGTATCGAAGTACCCATACGACGAACACAGTGCGCACCTCCAGCTTGCTGCAGGCAAGAAGGCGTACTAGGTGGATTTGGAGAGTCAGGATGCCGCATTGGATGTTTTAAAATACTAGGGATGCCGATGTATGCCCGCCATGCTAGACATGATCCATGCGCCTTTCTCGTTGTATTCTGCTATTTGCATGGCGTTTCTATCTGTTCGAACTTCGAAGAGTGATAAGCCTGTGCATCGCGAGAGGGGCTTCCTATCAAATTCACAGTCCTGTTACTTATCGCCTGCGTTGGAGCTCTCATTCCCAAGCATTCAGTAGCAGTCTCTCTCTTCAAGATCTCGTTTGCCTATGGCGAATGGAGTGATTGAGCCGACCGAGAGCGCGAGAGCGCGAAGCGGCGATCGGCGATCGACTGTAGCCGCAATGCGGACGGGCGATAAGCGAGCCCTTGTTTTGTTGCAGTCGTCTGCGACTTTCTCCAAGCCAGCGCGCTAATGCAAGGTTTAATGAGCGTGCTCAGCTCAATTAAAGCATACCTCCCGGTTTGCTAACATTCACCCAACTCGTCTCTCCCACCATCATTCCCGATATCGCCCTCTCAGACAGTAATTTTTTCCGTAAATTGCAACACTTCATCTCGAGAAACTTCGAGTTCAGCATGAGCGCGTCGGATTTGTTGCAAGTTCGTTATTCATCTTATATCCACTTCAGATCACAAACCCGCCTTCCAGATCAGTGATCCAGGGCTGGCATATATCGTCCTAGGAGGATTTACCGTCGTGGTGCGTCATGTTACCCCTAGCGTCTCGTGGCTATTGGTTGTCTGGCAACAATGCCACCATACAATATTGCCTCAGTTGTTGACGCCACAGACTCATCATCTGACGCTGTGCGGTCTATAGTTTAGTCTGATATCGTTGCTTGTGAAAGAAAGAGTATGTGGTTTGCATTCCAGCCTCCAGATCGCGAGATCTGCCCGTTAGCTCAACAATCGTCCGTTTGCAGTTCTATATCAATGAAGTCGTACTGGGGACCGCATTTGGCATCCTTATCGGCCCGCACTGTGCCAATGCCTTTGACCCAAGATCATGGGGCCCCGACACAGAGAGGATCACGCTCGAGGTGATGCGCATCGTTCTTGCCACCGGCCTGTTTGCTATCGGCGTAGAGCTGCCTCAGTCTTACATGGCCGATCATGCGAAAGGGCTGCTTGTAATGGTCGTTCCAACAATGGCATTTGGCTGGTTTATTGTGGCGGGTGCGATGGTCCTTTAAATTTGATTGGCAGTCTTACTCAGTGGGTTTGTATTAGCGATTATATACGCCCTCTTCCCCAGCTACAACTACATTTCTGCACTAGTTGTAGCCGCGTGCCTTACTCCAACCGACCCTATCATTAGTGCAGCTATCGTCGGTGAGTGGCAGGAGTCTCATGTCCTGCCTGTATGCTGATAAGTTTCTGTTAGGCGGCAAATTTGCCCTCAAACATGTGCCCACGAACCTCCGCCGTATATTATCCGCCGAGTCCGCCGCCAATGACGGACTGGCTTATCCTTTCTTGAGCATCTCGATCTACCTTACCGTTGAAAGCTCTCGCCGCGTGGCTATAGGCAAGTGGTTCCTGATTGGCTGGCTCTGTAAGTTATATCTTTTCCCTTCCTTTAAAACTTCTTAGCTGAGTTGTGCTTAAGACGAAGTTATACTGGGCACAGTCCTTGGAGCAATCTTAGGTGCAGTACCCGTCAATGACTTGTTCAAATTGTCACTGACATCAGCATCTAGGGATTATGTTTTGCCACCTCATGAAATTTTCTTACCGCAAGGGCTTCATCGATCGAGAATCCTATGTTGCGCAGTACCTCGCCCTCACTTTCCTGACCATTGGGATCTGCGACACACTTGGCAGTGATGATTTGCTAGCAGCCTTTGCGGCAGGTAATTATGGTGACTCGCCTTCGCTGTGTGTGCTCTGCTCAAATTCCCGTGCCCTACTTCTCAGGTACCGCGATCAGCTGGGATGGGCATTTTAACGATCAAACTGAAAATGAGGTATTCTCGTCTGTCGTCGACCTGCTCCTCAATTGCGCTTGTTTCGTATACATTGGGGCTTGGATGCCATTCGACCAGTTCGATCAGCCCGACCTAGGGATCACGCCTTGGCGTCTTATCGTCCTGTTTGTAGCCATCTTGGTACTCCGTCGTATTCCCTCCATGTTGCTGTTGTACAAGTGGGTCCCGGAGATATCAAATTGGCGTGAAGCGCTCTTCTCTGGTCATTTTGGTGAGCTGTCTTCATGACACGATGAAGTTGAGTACACGCTGAGACTGCATCACAAACTAGGACCGGTAAGTCATGACGAATGCAACTTAGATGCTCGCTCATCGTGACCCGTAGATGGGAGTTGGGGCTGTGTTTGTTTCAACACTTGCTCTTACTAGGCTACCCGCACCGCAGTATCCACCCCAGAATCAAGCCGAATTGCTTGCAGCAACTTTGCAGACAATTGTATCCTTCGTAGTCCTAGGATCAATTATTATTCGTATGGCTTTTGCCTCAGTCATCCTCACAATATTCTGACACTGTTGTAGATGGCCTTTCGATTCCTTTCTTCTCCTTAGGAAAGAATGTCCGCTCGCGTACTGTATCTATGTCCAGGACTTGGACTTCACGTGGCACAGGACCCGAATGGCTGTCTGGAGTCCGTCGCTTGACCGAGACACCGGGTGAAATCCCAAGACCGGGGACACCGTCTCTCGTCGTTGCCGAGCAGGGTACAATTGAGGACATCACAACAATCATTCACGAAGTGGTAGTGACCGATGATAATATCATTCCACGGAATATCAGTACACAGTCGCTTGCGTCTGATACATTCTTTAATACCGAGGACCTTCCTCGTGGTGTTGTATCAGACAAGAACGGCCAGGCAAGTGCACGGTTTTATAATATCTATTCACATTGCTTCATTGCTGGCTTGATAGGTTCGACCAAGCCGCACAGGGTCCTTGGAGCGATTTAACGAGCCTGGATCCCGCACTCCGAAGATGGTGCACTTCCCCCAAAATGATGAGGAGCGAGCTGCTTCTCTTGCAGAACAAGCTGGAGATTCTATGAATAACAGCATCCCTTCGAGAGCCGAAGTACCCATAAACCCAGCTCATCTATTTATGGAATCTCCGGAAGATACGGAAATCCCTTCTACTCCTGAGGGAAGGGGTACCGGTCTTGATGCTGGGTCTCCTGGCCAAATTCAGATTCACCAAAGGGTTGTCACGGTCCGCTTGCCTTCGCCTCAATAACATCTGCCTGTGGCTCTTCGCGAGAGTCACAGCTCTTCTTAAAGATTTCCATGCACTCAAATAGACAAAGATATCTTTTGTGTATATAGAATCAGTAACGAGCACATTGTCTCGTAAAATGCGTATTGTGAAGTTGCCATATAACTTATTAGCGCCTGTACCACGTGCAGTGACGCTCGTGTCCGAGTTGTGCTGGAGGCTTTCGGCAGAATTCGACACCGACTGCAAACCATGGCTACTCGCAAGTTTGCAGACCACACACGCTATCATCTCAGTCCGAAGGGGTTCTGGAAGAAATTTCGTACGCATTCCCCCATCCACAGATGGATAACTTGTTCTGAACGTCGCTTATGCAGGAGATGCCGTCGTCGTAAACCCCGAGATTTCCAGCGGCCTTCCTTTGCCAGGCGTGTTCAGACATCCGCCTCCAGGTTCAAGGCCAGAGAGATATTCTACTCCTGCTAGCAAGGGTGCGCTTCGTAAATATCGTCTGCTCATAAACTATGTATTCACACCATACTTTTAGCGTCCGATCCTGCGCAGAACCCATACTGGAAGCGTGATGTACGGCGCGCATATCCTCAGCTTTCTGTTGTGACGCAGACTGAGCTCTCGTCCCTGCTCATCCAACACTCCCAAGCGCAGGCGTATGTTCATAATTGCCGTCCACAATTATCAGCGCAATTCTAACACGTGTTATGTAGAGTTGCTGCCCCCACTAAGGAAGGCGACGAGGCTTCTGTACCGACTGCAACAGCGGAACCTATGGACCTCACAGCGGCCATAGCCACCATCACGTCTGCTAGCAAGGCCTATTCTGCGTCTAAACTCCCCCCGACGCCGCCGATACCTCACGCTCGTTGGGTTCCGGAACGAGCGGAAGATGCCCCGCACGATCCTAGCGCCTACTTCCCAATGCTGATGTACAAGTAGAGATTGTAGTTAGTCGTGTTCCCTTATACATTCGTAGCACGTTCTCAATGCAATAGAATTGGGTGGCGTTGCGCGTCTGCTGAAGCCACCGTTGCTATTCTCACGAGCGCAGAGGCTGCGTCTCCACTCTTACCTTTGCGTCCACCTGTGATGTTTATATTCCTTGCTAGCTGCTCAGAAGACCTACTTTCGTGATATTGTATAGTATACGATTATGGCCCCTGTCCAGACCGAGTCCTCGGTACCACCACCCGCAGTTGCTGGCTCTACCGCCGCACAACAGGAAGCAGCGTTCGCCGACGATCCCCATGTGCACTTCGACCGTGCATCTGGCACATGGCGCTTTGAGAATGACGATGGAAGTGAGCTTGAGTACGACGCAGCGAAAGGAGCATGGGTCCCTCTGGTGAGTGCTACGATACAATGCATGCACACGTACAGGCTGGAACCGTCTCCTATCGGTAAGGTGGATGAGGACCTGATGAAAGCTCAGCAAGCCGCATATTCGATTGCTGGTGTTGACGAGGAGGTGAGGATCTAAGTAGCCTGTTGCCCACCTCGTGTCTCCATTGAAAGCAGCCTTGCGAACCTCCTATTCCACAAAACACTACGTTTGCGCCGGCTCGTAGACCCCCGCCGCTCCTGTGCTCAAACGGGCTAACAAAAAGCGCAAAGAGCCGGAAGACTACACCTCTAATAACGCGGGGTCAAGTACAGGTCCAGTCCTGAAACGGGGCAAAAAGGGAGCCGGCGCAGATGGGCAGCCCGAGCGCAAGTCTAAGAACACAGCTGTCTATGTGACAGGTCTGCCATCAGACACAGATCATGACGAATTGGTATCGCGGTTCTCTAAATTTGGCCTCATTGAGGAGGACGATGAGGGTGCGCCAAAAATCAAGCTTTACGCGCGGGACGATGGCACGTTTAGCGGAGATGCACTCGTCGTGTACTTCAAGGAGGAGTCTGTCGACCTCGCTGTGACTTTGCTGGATGACGACGAGCTCAGGGTTGGGGACCCGAACACCCGAATGCGGGTTCGACGTGCGGAGTTCCAGCATAAGCATGAAGGCGAGGGAAAGTCGGGAGAGATGAAGCCCCGGAAAACTATGGTTGACAAGAAGAAGGCTACGAGGCGGATAGGTAAAATGCAGAAGTGTGTGCACCCTGTATTTCCCGCAGATAACCACTCACGTTGGAGGCGTAACCAGGAAACTTGGCGAGTGGGATGATGAGGACGGTTTTGGGCCTTCCATCACAGAAGAGGACAAGGCACCTGTGGCAAATAAAAACAGTCGTGTTGTAGTCCTCAAGCATATGTTCACATTGCAAGAACTTGATGAGGACGCATCGTTATTGCTAGACTTAAAAGAGGATGTCCGAGATGAATGTTCGTCCCTTGGGGAAGTGACCAACGTGGTGCTCTATGATGTACGTTATTTCCATTCTCAAAAGGTACTTTTAGCTAAGCTCCACGTCTCGCAGAAGGAGTATGAGGGTGTCATGACAGTAAAATTCCGAGATCCTCTGAGTGCTCAAGCCTGCGTAATAGTGAGTTTATCTGCTCATCTTCCATATCTGAGTTGATGTTTGTATCACGTCAGAAAATGGACGGCAGATTTTTTGCAGGTAGACGAATTGAAGCATCGTTATATGCAGGCAAGCAACGGTTCAAACGCAGTGCGGATGATTCTCTTGAGGAGGGTGGAGACGAAGGCGAGAAGCAGCGACTGGATGACTTTGCAAAGTGGCTTATGACTGAGGGCGACTGACTTGGTATCAGTATGTATATGATATATCATCGTCCTCTATGAATATGCGATCCAGATACAATATGTTATGCGGCACGAGCGATCCGAGACAACATGGACAGCGAGATAACAAAACAACGGTCCATGGTATGCATCACCAACACGAGAAGAACGGTTTGCTGTCGACAGTTTCCAGCCGCTATGTAATCAAGTCGTCAACTTGGCCGTCTGTATTGTCCGCAAGCCAACTCACCTCGACTATCACGAGACGCTGTTTAGGACTCTCGGGAACGTCTTGATGCATCCAATCTAAGCTTGGTCGACTTCGACTTTCCGGGGGTGCACCGAAGCTAGGCCAGCGGGCATGGCGAGCGGACGCTGACAGCTCCAGCTGGGATGTCGACTTCGACATGGCGATGAGATCCTCTTCTGTCATTGAAGCGGAGAGCATGTCCTCTGGGACTGCGGGAAGGCGCTCGGAGCGTGCAGAAGGAGATAGAGTATCTGCTACCACCTCAACCGCACGATCTTTAGGAGTCTGTGCAGAGGTCGATGTCGACGCTTCGCCAACATCAGCCTCCTCACTCTCATCCACCACGCTCTCCTCTACCCCGAGTCTAGAAAGGCCAGCTTCGACAGCGTCAAGCCGCTCCATGTGTTCTAGTACCGTTACTCCCGTCGTAGCAGGGTGGACGCGCGAGAATTTGGTGGCGAACGATACGGGCCGCGAGAACTCGGAGGAAATTCTGCGAATTGGGGGCGGGAAATCTGAGGAGCTGTGACTTCTTGCATGTTTCAGTAGAGGAACAGAGCTTATAGAAGCTCTAGATGTCCGGCTGTGAGGGGATGGCGCAGAGCCGTTGACCAAATTGGGAAGATTGTCATCTGTGAGATCAACCTCGTCATCCCACACCAGAACCTTTTGGCGTCGAGTCAACTCAAGAGGCCCTGCTTTGTGTCAGTCAAAAGTTGCAGTGATGGCGCGCCGCTTACCTTCATCCTGTGTAGGCAGAGAAGTATTAGAATATTGGCGTGCGATCACAGCGGTTGAACTCACAGTATGCTTCAAAGACTGCACGATATTCCATGCTTGTCCCTTAACCACCGCTAATTGTTTCTGAGTGCACCTATTCAGCTGATTCTTCAGCCATTGATATCAAGAACTCACCCTAAACATCTTGGGATGGAAGTCAGGATCCACAGCGAACAGTCTCCGAAGCTGATACGTGGTCTCGGCCCACCAGGTCTTGGACGTCAACAAGGGCAAGAAGTGGTCCCTCGTCTTCTGACTAAAAGGGCGGCCAATAATAGTGACAGGCAAGTACAGCCAGCCATAAGTGTACGAACGCCAGCCTCGCGGATGTTCATGAGGAAATGATAAGGAGTTGTCTATCGCAGCGATGTGGATATGGGGCTGCCGCTCGTACGGAAGGTGGGGGTTTGAATAGCCCCCTTGTGAGAACGAAGGTGTAGATGACGGTCCTCCGCCTAGTTGAGGCGTGCTCAGCATCGGCTCAGTGCGGCGCAATTCTGTCATCATTGGCATCTCCAAGCGCGAGATACGAGATGGTGCAACATCCACCAGGGACTTGCCATGATCATAATCGCAGAACTTGATCATGTAATTGTCCGCTCCGCGGTCAGTATTGAGCATCAAGAAGTCTGTAAAGAAACCTCCCTTTAGGTGCAAATGTAACAGAAGAAGAGGTTCGTACCTAGTATCACCAACCTAACAGAAATGACAATTGTAAATTATGCAAAGTTATGATGACTAGACCCAACGTACTTCTCAAGCTCTTCCCGAAAACTGTCTTGGAGAGCAGATGTCCAATAGAATGACTGCCCAGAAAGACTTTCTGTTGCATCAAATAGCACGCGTTCGTCCTCCCTATCATCCTCATCATACATGTCTTCTTCTTCACCTGTCTTTCCGCACACAATCTTGACGGCACCCTGTAGTTTCTTGGATAAGCTCCCTTTCCGATGATTCGAGTCGTCGAATGTATCGGAAATGGCACGTCCAGGCCAGGGGTGCTTACGAAGAAAGTCGGAAGCGTCTACACGCCAATGTGAGTAACACGTACAAACGTGGAAGTGATTGATAGTACCTGTATAGCCGTGCAGAAAATATTGCATACTACCAATCTTTTCTGGTAGAGGTTTTCCTTTCTTTGCGGCTTTCCTGTCAAGCCAGTCGTAGAAGAATGCCTGGAATACTTATGAGAACGTACACGACATAGGGAAGGTGAAACACGCACAGGACTAGACAAAGAGACTAATTCTGTACGAGGGACAATGTGTAGATCCAGTCGCTCATCTAGCAGTGAAGCAGCAGCTTCGGAGATATAACTTCGCGAGTTCGATTGAATCGCTATAGCAGCAGTTAGGTCAAGACATACACACCTGAGGTTAGGAATAAGACAAGCTCGACCAAATGGTATGATCCATTTGAATTGCCTATGGAGCCATTTCGTAGTCTGCGTCCCAGAGTTCATTACCTCAGAATCGCCGACAATAGGATGCTTACCTTTGGATTCAGTCGCCCATATGGCTCCTCGTCTTTGGGTTTAAAAACCCTTCAAATTTAGTGTAAAGAGGAACATGTTTAGGAGGTGGATTGTACTCACGCTACGGTTTGAACACGCCCCTCGATCTTTGCCCGAGCGAAGTATGATCCCGATGAGCCCTTAGAAATCATCTTCGGATGAACGCCATCCGCAATAGCATCCTTTACTGCTTGCACCAGTCTTCTTTAGTTAGTGAGGCAGATTTGACCGGGGAACAGATGCGCTACTCACCTGTCAAAGTCTGCCCGTGTCATAGGTGGCTTATGATCAAGTGTCTTCACCTGAAACATACGCCTGGTTCAGTCGATCCACTTCTCCGTGCAGTTGATTATCTCCACTCACTGTGTCATCATATATATTCAAAGCAGCAACGGGAGGCTCAAATACGCTGTGCAGAATCTCCTTCCTTGAGTTGTCCTCCACCCTTCGCTTCCGTTTTACCTTTTGAGCGATGGATTCCGTCCATCTTCGTCAAGGAATATGAGTCGGCAGCTTTCTCGTAGTGCTTGAGATACTGACCTCTTGAACGCAGTGTCCAGCTTGCCAAGGTCGATGTGTCCAGGGCGTCGCGAGTGAGGGGGTGGCTGCGGCGCGGGTGACAAGCCCTCGCCAACGTCTGCTTCTTCCTCTTCATCAACCCCCTGCGCGAGCGGTTGATACTCAGAGCGGTTAGGCATCGAAACGGTCGTAGAGTGAAGAGTCTTGGAGACGACCGAGAATTATGAGTGCGTAGCTCTCTCGTTCAGTGAGGAGTCCTCTTGCCAAAATAGAAAGAGGCGACGGCATGTCAATCACGTTCCTTGCACAGCTACAGCCACCGGCGACACCTACACTCAGGCCCGCTTCGAGTCGACTCCGCGAGTGGCCGCGTCATTTAACTTTCAGAAACTGGAACAATACATAGCATCCCGATAATATCATAAGTTAGAATAAGTCACAGAAGTGGTCATACTCAAACGATCACAAGCAATGCCCTTAGGGAAAAGAAACAAGATCTAGACAGTGAATGCGCGGGTAGCAGCACATTCATGTTATGATTCGGATCCCCCGTACTGCCTATATGATGGAGGTTCGTATTGTGGAATGTCCCCAGGCGTCCCGACAGCTGCATACTTTCCTAATCGCAAAGCCCTGCGCCGGCGAATCACCTTCACAGCCCACACAATCGCGGCGATGAGCAATAACACTCCTATGCTCGACATGATTATGATGACTTCAACAATGTTTGGCCCAGCCTTGACTGGGGTAAAGCCTGACACCTCCCTTTCAGATGTCTGAAACGCAGCCATACGTGCAGCGTTCTGGGAAGTGAATTGGATGTGTGCCTCAGTTGCATTAGTGAGCTGTGCATAAAATCATAGCGCAAAGCAATTGATGTGATCAGTATGGCATTCAATACGGTAGACATTGACGTGGCTCACACTCAAAAGCTGAACAAACGGGACACTGATACCACCAGACTTGTTCCATAGATTCATATTGAACAAGGAATATACATTCCTAAGGAATGTATCGCCAAGGATCCATGCTAAAAAGGGAATTGGTGGATCAGGAATTTATCAACAAGACGAGAGGGGAATTGTTATCGTGAACACGACATTATACGTGCGTGTCACAGCTGTGAGTAGCAGAGCCTCATATAATCCAAGAAAATACTCAGCTACTCACTTCCTTTTGGCATCCCTAAGTAGGTATTGCGTTGTAACGCGCCGACGCAGATCGCGTTGCCATTTTCGTCTATATCCCACGGCCAGATCATGTCCAGGGGATTCAAGGGATATTCGACACCTCTGTGGATCCGGTCGGTATATAAGTGATTGAGAACCACTAAGATGGCCAATCACAAAAGACATACCCTAACTCAATGCTGACATTGTAATATGTATCACATGGGATGAAAGACAGAGTACCGTCCTCGGTCGTTTGCAGGCTACTGCCATAAATCGCATCGACGAACATCGGATCCACCAGGGCTTCAGATGAAAGAACGAAATTATAGCCCTAATGGTGAGTCTATGTTCACGACCGAATCTCACCAGTCGGGGTACCGGTATCCAGAAACGCGCTAATATTCTGAGTGCCACTCGGACTAGCAGTAAATCAGACATTAGACTTTTCCTCGTATTCACATAAGGCAAGGAATCATACCTAGTATCATAACGCTTCCCATTGATTGTGATTGCATCGACATGTATCGTCCAGTAATCCAGCCCGATATTATGGGTGGCATTAGTCAAGAGAGGAAGCACTGGCTGCTGCGTGACTGCTGCGTACTCCGAGATTGGTTCGCCTGAGAATATTGAAAATCAGGAGGCACATACAAAAGCATAGATAGCTATGCAGATGTGTATCAATATACGGTGGCGTACCAATAGTGAAGCTACCGCCAGCTGTAACATTAGTATCGTCGTTGCGAGACATCAAGATCGTAAACTGGGGCTCCATGTCGGGATTGTGCAAGAATATCTGTAAAGAGAATACATCAACGATAGCTGGGAGGCACCCCACGGGCCAACATGAACATAGCATGTCAAAATACACAGGAAAGCAAGGATCTGAAAACCCACATTCTCCATAGGCCCAGTACCATTGATGGTCGAGTTCGCATGAGTGAGACTGCGAATTATAGAACTATAACCTGTCGGACTGGGTGGTCCCCATGCATTCAACTGATCAGAACTAGGGAAACAACAAGTCTGATGGCATGCGCTTACGGACCCAACCCAACGACACCACTGACACCTGGATTAAGAATACCGCTGGAAACGCTCAGCTCTTTGACTATGAATTTTGGAAGTTTTATGTGTGTCGAAGAAAGATGTTCAGACAGGTTGACGTACTAAGAGACTGATTTTGAATGTTGAAGCCTCCAAAAACGACATCCGCGAGGATGACATAACCTGCTGTTTTCGATTGCTCATTTGATGGGCCATAGGTGTCGGCTGCCTTAATTGATGTATTGTAATACTGAGAAAGTGGCTCGCTTTCGTATATCCAAAAATCATTGCTGCCAGTGTCCAGGATCACCTAGAGGACAAATGCAATATACAAGGATGAGAGCACAAACAGCTAGGACGGTGTTGCGCACCTCAAAAGTATCTCCCGCAAGCGCAATATCACCTACATATCGTATGTTGTCGATGTTCTCAAACACAGATACGTTACCACTCTCCGAGAGCCTGGTTACATTGATAGAATGCAATCCCCTGGTGCTACTTCTCGTATGTACCTTGCGAAAGGGAATGTTGATGGCGAATGCCGATGACAGAAGGACTGAAGGTATGAAAGACAATGCCGCATGACGCATGTTCAATAGGTACCCGATGATGCCAAGGAAGGTATAATGGTGGTATCGAATGTGCACCACTCGTAGCACACAGTATGCTTATATATTTCGACATGCTTTCCAGGCACTACTTCAGAACTAAACCGTTGGTGGAGGTTAGCTTCTGACGATGTAGTTCCCATCTGTCCATAGACACTGCCACTGTTACCGCGCTTGGCAGGTTATCGGCAATGATGATGATTGTGAAAGCTGCGTACTATAAATTATATTAACGCTAGGACCGTTGAGGATACATCAAACGAACCTCCACAGAATATTGATTGAACAAGTTTGTTCTGTTAACAAGATCTGCTGAAAGACGATCAGAATAGGACATACACTCCAACTAGCAGGGTTTGATACGAATGTACTTTCGGAATAGCTTGGGCACACTGTGCAGTCATGGTTGCGTCCAGAGGCTATGAACAATCAATCAGCACCAGCGGCAATCCATCGATCATCTCACAGTTACCGTTGAAAGTTTACACCGCTTACTAGCATGCAGCGCACCCTTAAGCTTGACGTCCGGGACCATCGATAGGTTGGGCACTACACACCACCGTGAGGGTGAGAAGCATTCAACCAACCTACTTCGGTAGCTGTGCCAACCACTCTGACTACGGCATTGGTGTACGGCAAGCACCTGGCCCTTTAGAGCACGCCAGTGTCATATCATAGACCGTCAATACTTCGACGAGTAGTTTCGACTTCTACAAGTACAAAGCTACCCACAAGTATAAATTTTGGAAGGGATTTCCCTCTCCGTTATGTTCTACAGGGCAAAACAATCAGCATACCCTAAAGCTATTTGTGAAGTCGGAAGGAGAAGACATACCCATTGTCGGAATTCGCAGACGATATTATCAGAACGAGGATGTATTGGAAGTGTCGATGTTAAATCTGGGTTGTTGAAGGAAAAAGCCAGACCATCTCAGCAGAATTGCAATTACAATCATTAGCCGCGAGTACAAAATATTATTATAATAAGTGAAGCAGAGACTCCATCCACGAGAAAAGGAATTATATTGTCTTTGTCAACGCGAATTAAGCGCAACCGGTCATAAAAAGTTGCCTAGGACCGCAGTCGCGATCCTACCAAAGGTTATGGGATGGCAATAAAGTCAGTCAGTCTTGTGAATGGCGCCATGGAAATCGGCATCTGGGTGTGAAATGGTTGTTTCTTGGTCTGGATGTTGCACCGATGCATTTTGAGTGGGGAGCAGGTCGCTGGGTCGCGAGCCGTCCGGGAGGCATGGAGCCATGAACAGTGATCCATCAATAAATGCTGGTATGCTACGCAGCAAAATGGCACCCCATACGACAAATACGACAGCTATATTGACAAGCACGGTAAATAAAGGGCACTCTACAATCGATAGTAGCGCATATAGCTTACCTGACCACAAAGAACCGGCGACCTTAAAGAAAGGACTCTGAAGTACCTTTGACAGCTCGATGGTGAGCATAGCAAACACGGAATTAGGGAATATCAGCCCCCAGTAACCCAAGTTGAAGTTCAAGCGGGCTTTGCGAACAACGACGACGTGGTAGATCGAGCAAACGGCGATGACTATCCACGCTATACCCATGGACCATAGGACATATGAACCGCAGAAGCACACTGCGTAGATCATCTGGCCTGTCAGTGCGGACTGGGGGAAATCTGTCCCGATATAGAGTGGGAGAAGCTCGGAGATGAGCGAACCGTTCACGAGCAGAGAAAAACCACCCTGCCCCAACGGACCAAGAACAATGAATGCAGAGAGGACAAGACCGGGATCAGGCACACCACGGATGATGAGCCGTAGTAGATAGATAGTGATCATCATCAACGCAAAGGTGAGGCCCATTGCCAACATCGTGAAGGAGAAGGCAGTAGTGACAAGGGCGAGGGTCGGATGGAGGGGCTTCAGCGCGGATGCCGTCAGACCACCTGTGGATGATGCGACGACGAGCGTGACAACAGGCAGCAGCCAGACAGCAGCCATGGTGGAGATCGAGTGTTCATGGCGCGTCGTCCTATAGTATGGATTAGGAAGAGCCCACAAAGTAGCAACCGAGTCGCGCTTACATGGTGTAGATCATGCCGTATGCGACAACATAGGACATCCAGGAGACCAGCCACCAGCAACCCCACAACGTATAAAGAAAACCGGTGCCCCCGAAGCCCCAGTTTTGGTTAATAGCCTATGATGATCCCTGATCAACGTGTATGAAAGTTTCAGACAAGTACAGTGACAGACCAGAGCTGAGTTGATTAATGTCGTCATACCCATGGGGAAAGTACCAATAAACAGACTCTGAGCAGGGTGACCGAGCATTACCCAGAAGAGCTTATGGGCGATTAACGTCAATGACATGGCCCGGATGAAGGAATCATAATTCTACTCGCCTTAGGATGCATGACGTATCGCAAGAAAGAGCAGGCGCAAATAAAAATGAAAAGGAGAAGGTTAAACACGAAGATCACGCATCCGGCGATCTTCATATTGTTGCTTTCTTGGCCGTACGGAAAGTTGTTCAAGAGAGCTGAAACCCCTCCAGTACCCATAATTACTGCGTGCCAGGCTGGGGTGAAGTGGCTGAGAGGGTGAATAGCATGACGAATGAAAGGTACGCCTCCGCAAGCTGACTAGAGAAGACACAAACCGAATGCGATCGGGCCAGCTCTTCCATTGAGAGTAGGGCAGCAGAAGTGGCTTGTCACTATTCTGCGCGTTGCAAGACATCACGAGAGATCCACTGGTGGGAAGGAGAGGATACGCGGGTGCATAGAAGATGAGAGGGCCATATATAAAGATGACTAGAAAAGCTCGCGGGCTCGGCGATCGACCCGACAGTCAACTGCAGCGCTCCTTGCCGTCGTCCCGTTCAACCTGAATTCGATCACCTTGTGTACATACTAAGTACCGCCACGACCTGCCTCCTCGTGTATCTCCCAGTTCCTCCCCCGTAGCTACTCTGATAACCTCCAACTCATGTAACCTCAGGCAGAATGCACCGCCTCGCATCTAGATATATGCTGCCATTCGGAATTCAAAGAGGTCACTGCTCCGAAGCTGATCGGACGATACTGGGGTATTCATCAACTCATCTAGTCATAGGAGAATTCCCCATTAGAGGAGAATCAGAGCGCGCTTATTTACAGCCTTTGCGCAATAGGCCACGGATTTAAAATGCATGGTGCCCTCCTGCATATTCGATGCGTGCAGCAGAGGGCTTCTACACACTGCCCATTGCCAGTGCCCGAGGCATAGAACAAGAATGGGAGACGACACGTAGTGCTCGATGCGTCAGGATTTGTATCTTGGCGGCGCTGGCGCGGATACATGATATCGGTACTCGATTTACCTCCATATTTCTGCGGATGTTAACCTGCTGAGCCACGCCAGAGTTGAGCTGCTGGTCTCCGACATGAGTATCTTCGATACAACGTGAACACCATGAAGCCGCACTCGGAGTCGGAGCCGTGCTACTAGTACTAGTATATGAATGGATCGGATATATATCTACGCGGACGCATGACACGAATGCTACACATAGTAGACAGGGAACAGGTGGAGTAGCTGGTCAATCATAGCAGCTAATTGTACATAGCTACATGTCTGATACGGCAGTAAACAGTCGAGAAAAGCAAGAGCTCAAGCGCATATTTATGTTTCTCGTCGTTGTCTGGAGAACTTTTGAAAAGACTCAATCTAGCTGTACAAACCCCGATTACTTGGGCGAAGTGCAGCATCTGCATCAGTGCGGAAATTAAGTACGTACAAACTACAGAGCGCGGGGGACATGTACGCGTCCCGGACACGTGGCACTCTTGTCTCCGACGCCGACGAGTACCCTCCCAGTGCCTCCAGTGGCTTCGTGGACGTCTACGACATCCTGTACTCGCTTGGTTCCACCAAGTCCTTTCGCTCCGGCTTTCCAGCATGACCCAGCCTGACTGGGATGTCATCTCGTCCTACGTCGGCCTCCTCAGTCTCGCGACAGTTTCCATCTACGCCGGCTCACATGGCTCCGTAACGGTACGTGTTCCTTTACATGCGTAAAGGCGAGCGTTGCCGACCGATCAGTGGCTGCAGATACGCAAGGAAAGGCCCACAGAAGGACAGCCCATGTTAGAGGGAGGGGAAGACGAAGACGAAGAAGAGATACCCGACCGCTTGTCCGCCAGTGATGCCTATCTCTTTCCTGTTGTGAGTGCGATACTCGTGTCGCTGGAACACGTCGATACGACATGCCACACATAGATCGGGTCCGTAGTCTTATTCGGACTCTATCTGGTGGTGAAGTACTTTGGCCAAGAGTGGATCAACTGGCTTCTGCAGTGGTACTTCACGTTTGCCGGGGTTGGCAGTGTTGGCAAGGCAAGTTCACTGCCCGTTCAATCTTGATCAATCTTGAGGGATCTACTTTCACTCACGGAGCGTCGCAGTCCCTTATTTCGTTGGCAAGATGGACCATTGGTCGCTCACGATGGAATAAGTTTGATAAGACTGAAATAGTAATAACAAAAGGGCCCAGAGGTATGTCACCAACTATGTGGCCATCCGCTCGCTCATACGTCCCAGAACTTGCCGCATTGTCCATCCGCACTCCTTCCTGGTTCCTAATTCCCGTCGGCGCACTGCCATCCATTCTATATAGCTTCGGTCCGAGAAGTACACGCAGATCCGCCGTCCTTACCGATATACTCGCTCTCTCCTTCTCTCACAATGCGCTGGCGCTGTTGAAAATCGACTCATTCAAAACCGGATGTGTGCTTCTGTCTGGACTGTTCCTTTACGATATCTGGTGGGTCTTTGGAACTGAAGTGGTGAGTGGGCACACAGTTTGTGTCTGGACCGTTGCGGATTTGACTGCCATTTCCAAAGATGGTGAAAGTGGCCACGACTCTCGACGTCCCGATCAAAATTCTGTGGCCGAAATCCCTGGTCTTTTCGGTCGAGCGGGGATTTACGATGCTCGGACTCGGGGATATCGTTGTTCCCGGACTGTTTGTCGCACTTGCTCTTCGATACGACTATTCTCGATCATCTGGGACGCCTGGCCGCTCGTATAGCAAGCCCTACTTCGGAGCGGCTAAGAAAGC